TCCACGCCAGAACGGATTAACGGTAATTACATTGAACCTTATGGGAAAATTTGCTTGGGGTTGCGACCAATTCAGGTCGCGACCAGAGTCGTGGAACGAATTAAGTTCATAAACCGAGGTTCCACTGTATTCGGAAGAGCTTCCAGGAGGGCCCCGGTTCAAAATTACGTTGGGCTCCTTCCTAGGCATCAGGTGGGGGAGCCCATTGGGTCCACTTCAGGAATGCAGAGCCAGAGCTGGCAAAGGGGTTACCCCAGTCTGCGTTCAAAAGAGACCGTGCCCTTTCCAGGTCTGCAGCGCACTGAGGCCACTGCTGCTGTTGCTGAAACTGGATGTGGCTGAGAAGCCACAGGCCACTCACCGGCACATTATGGTCCTTCCGGGCTTTATGAGATGAAGCCACATGTGCTAAGTACTGGATCACTTTCTTTGTGTTCTCTGTTTTGCCAGCACCTGACTCGCCCCTGCAGAGAACAGACATCGGATGAGAAAACAGATGGATCCCGCTCACACCACTCTCTCTCAGAGCCAGTCTTAGAATGGATGAATTCCACAAATTCAGTATTTTACTTTCTGAATTCAGTATTTTTGCCTTCTGGACCTGTCCCAGCAGCAGCAGCCTATCAAAAAGTACGGGCTGGGAACCAGAAGGCCTTTGGCTCCAATTCCACCACAGTCACAAACTCACTAGGAATAATATTATGGTAATAATACTAAAAACTATCACGGTAACTGGTGTCAAGTAGTGGCTGGACTTGGAATATGGATACTCCCTGGTCTGGGATAACCTTTGTCTAGTCACTGTTGTTCAACAGCCTAATTTACAGAGGGGTAAGAAAAAAATGTATATATCTTTGTCCATCAGACAGATGGAATAAAAAAGCAATTTTTAACATTTACCATCCATCCTAATGGTTTATTCACAAGGATTGCTGGGTAAAATATGAGAAGGGATTTGGACACTCTAAAGCAGTCTTTCCTAATTATGTAAACTGGGAATTTTAATCCCAACACATTTGGAGGGCACTAAATTGGTGGAAGTTACGGTCTTTGTTTATTTACTGATTCGTTTACAATGGGATCAACTTTGCAGCTCCTATCCCAGATTAGAACAATATCTGTTACAAGGGGAAAAAGGAAAATAAATCACCTCTTTCTAAGCTGAAGGGAACGGGAAGACTGTAGGGCAGTTTTTCTCAACCTTGGCAGCCTTAAAATGGGTGGACTTCAACTCCCAGAATTCCCCAGCCAGCAAGAAACACTGCTGTAGGGAATGAAGCTGGTATTTGGGAAAAGATGTTTCTAAAGCTGCAGGATTGTTTGGACCAGCTTCTGTACAACATTTCTTACAGAATTAAAACAACGGACTGGTATCAGAATCGCAGAATGCTTCTGATCCAGCCATAACTGCATGCCACTCAATGAAGGGGATTTCTAGGGCCTCTGATAACCCCCATGCAGAGCAATGGGTAGCGCACAATTTTTGCCCTCCCTCCTCTGACCAACTCCTTCTACAGCCCCTCCCCACTTCAAGCAACACTCACGTGCATAAGATCGACTGATCCTCTCGATCTGGAGAGTGAGGGCAAGAAAGAGAAAACATTCAGACCAAAACTGCTCCCATTTCCTGAAGACCACTTCCCTCCGCTAGAGGGCATCAGAAATGCACATGCAGTCATCCACCCTCTGTTCGCCAACTACAAAATGCTAGACCTCATCATACTGTTCTACCTCTATCCATCTACACTTTAAAATTGCACATTCTGTCCATCCTACACCCTACAATTACATATTTTGCTCCTTTCTGGTTCAGTCTGGAAAGAGGAATGCTTTAAACTTTTCCATTCACAGCCCCCCACCCTCCCCTTTGCCTTTCGCAGCACATAGCAAGGCTGGGTAATCTGGTTTTCATCCAGTGGATGTACTTCCTAGAGAGCAAGAAGGTAAAATGAAGAGAGAGCAGGGCTTGGGTCAAAAATGGGAAGGGTCATCTAGATCTTCTTTTTTAGACCCACTCAATTTCTCTCTCTTATTTTCTTCTTCTTCTCTGTTCCCTGCCCCCCCCCCAAGTTTCTAGAGCTTTTGTAATTAGGCTGAGGGTCACATGGAATCAGGGCCAGCCCCGAGCTTCTAGGGTTGTGTTGTGTCCATTGCTGACATATAGCAAAGCCCCCCATGGGTCTTCCAGGGTGTACCTTGTAGCATACTTCGGTAGGCAGTCTCAGAGATGGCATAAATGTGGGGAGGCATCTCATGCCGTTTCTTGCCCCGATACATCTCCACAATCTGTTCTGTGTAGATGGGCAAATTCTTGTAAGGGTTGATGACCACGCAGAAGAGCCCTGAGTATGTCTGCCGTTGGGAGGGAAGACAGAAAGGTGCATCAGGACAGTTCCCCAATGTGACCGCAGCTCTTTTTTGTCTGCACACTTTCCGGGGTTTTATAGCTTGCAGTCAAACACTCTCCCTTCTTAGGCTGCTGCTTCAAAAAAAAAAAACTATTTGAAAAACATGGTTTCTTTTTGCTTCGGGAAAAAGTGAAAAAATGTCAGAAAAAAGAGAGCAGCTAAGTCCACTGCCCACTGCTTTTAACTATGAAGCATGACAATGACCTAATTCACACTTCATATTAAGCCAGACATGTCATTTACTTGGGTTCATCTCTGCACAGACCCAGACTTTTTGGTTATTAATCCATGGCTTATAGCTAAGCATTATGTGTGGATTAGGGCACTAGACCTTTTCACAAACAAAATCTTAATGTGATGTGTGATCCCAGCCAGACAGGCAGTTGGATGTTATATGCAGCACCTAGCACCCAGTTCCCATAAATTGCAGCCAAGAGAGGATATGTCTGCATGGAGAGAAACAGCAGTTCCAGCCTTGAGATGTTCTCCCTACTGCTGAAGTGAAAAATCAATGGGATACTTCTTGGTCAGCCTTTCCAACCCTGGCTACCTTTTGGAGGTCCTGCACAGGCTGGGGAATCTTGGAAAATGGTCCACAGATTTGAAGGATGCCCCAGCGTGAAGAAGTCTGATGCAGGATGAGAGAGTCTCTCTCTCTCTTTTAATCCCAAGAAAAGCATCTCCTCTAGGATTCCCCCCCAAAACAAAACCTATTGAGGCTTCTTAGTAAAACCCTCAAAATGTATTTACATTTGAAAATATGGCTGGGATAAGAGGACTGTTTGCCAATGTCCCAAGAATGAAGGAACATGCAACTTTCTGAGGGCCAAAGAGGAGCAAAAGTCACCTGGGCAGGGGGACGATGCAAAATGAGTGGGGGGCATGTCATTAAAGGCTTTCAAGGGGATGGAATACATTGTTTCTTTGTTCTTTTTAACTCTGTCCTGCTGTTACAAAGTTATAAAGCTGTATTATAATTTTCATAAACTTCCTACCTCAGGGTAGTAGAAAACCAACATTGGGTATTAGGGAATGGGGGTTACAGGAGCATAAAAAGGGATTGGGGGCCATCAATCACCCCTGTAGTAAAGGCTGACTCCAACAAGCTTTCACGCACCAATGCCTGTGGATTTTCATAACCTGAATCCAGCCGTGCAATTTCACTTTTGGCATGCTATTGCTAGGCTACCTACTTTCCAAATGGGCTTTTAGTACCATGCCAACAACAGACAGATTTTGTCCATTTGACCTTGGTTACCATTGGCTGACAATAAGGGAAGTATGTAGAACTGACCTTCCCCAACCTGGAGTCTTTCAGGTGTGCTGGAATGTAACCTCCCATTATTCTGTTAACCATATTGCCTGAGGATCATAGGAGTTGAATGCATCAGAGCTCAAAAAGTAGGGGAAAGACTGCTGCCTCTGAGGCTGACTGAAAATGCTACTTGCTACGGGCTGAAATATCTGGGAAGAATCAGCCTGGAGACCAAACTGTAAAGCAACTGGCTGGAATGACAGGAGTTGAACTACAGGAAAAACACCAAAATGGGTTGTCAAAGAAACTGTCTGGGGAGGCTGAGGACTCTCCTTCTCGGTAAAAAATTTATTTTCTTTCATCTTAAAGATGACTTCCGTGGGGCTGAATCATGTAGAAGTACATGCTGCCTCTTAGCAGAAGACAGAGTACGGGGATCTGCGGTGGAGTCTCCTGCTTCTACGGAGACTTCTAAGCGGTGTGTTGTTGCTGCAGCTGACGGCGCCCTCAGGAGAATTCACTTCACACCCTGCCGACGACTCCTGTTCTGGCTGAACAGGTCTAGTCCGTTCCCCACCCCGATACCCAGCTATGGGGTGGAGATCAGAGGCAGCAGGAGGAGGACGGGCACTGAGCTGTCTGCGAGTCAGAGATGACGTGCTGTTGAGGGAATGCTTTGGCATGGTGCCTCCCAGGGTAGCCTTTTGTGCCCACTTGGGTGCCAGGGAAACCAGCAGGACAGAAGAAACTCATGTCCCCTTCTCATTCCCTCTGAAAGGAGCTCTGCATGATGGGGTGAAGGAAATTTAACTCACGGTTTCTAGCATTACTGCACAGAAACACACCCATATTTTACAAGCTGGGACAAAAACCCAACTTTCTGTCCCAAATTAGCTCTTCTCCCCCAGTCCTAACGTCTGCTCAGAATGAATAGCTTGGCATCGAAGCAAAGCTGCATCTCACTCAAATGGGGAACAGTCCTTTGGGACAACCCAACAAATGTATAAGGGCATTTCGAAGTAGTGGACATTCTGGCTCCAGTCTTGTTGCTATCTGCCAGTAGAGCCTAGCTGTCACCATTGGAACGGAAAAAAAAAAAAGAATTTCAGGAACACGTTTTTATCTATCAGCACTTCACAGTTTAAAATCTGGAAGTTTCTTGTTTAAGGTATCTTGACAGATATCAAGAGTTTTGGACAACATAATTCCCACCATGATTTGCAACTGGCCATACTGGCTAACAGCTGAAGTCCAAACCATCTGGAACATTGGCTAGTGTATTCCTGAGTTAGGACATTTGAGCGAGACATAGGTGCTACAAACCAGAATTCCTGGACTACACTTGGAATTAAACAGGGAGATAAACTGTGTTAAGTAGCTCTTAATTAGAAGTACTAGGAGGCTGGACCACAGATCCTTGGGTTCATGTTCTGAGGAAGATGCAAGTGGTTAAAAAAAAGTATGTGTGAGAGAGGGGGAGAGAGAGATGCATAGAACCAGACCACCCCATAAGCCAACTCACATAGATAAGACCCGAGTAGTAGCGGTCCTTGAGATTATGCAATACTGAGGCTTCGTTGAGGCAAGTCAGCTCCGCCATGTCTTCCACCTTGGTAAATTTGGGTGGGTTCATCTTCTGGATGTCGTCTTTGGCAACCAGCACCTGACGTCCATTCTCAGCAAGTTCCACCAACACCTCATCTCCCCGTTCTTCGCGCAGCCCAGCCGCCTCAAAGCCATGACGTTCGGATGGGACCCACACCAGGCGCTTGGCAGTCCAGTCAGCTTGCGATGCTGGATTGCCCACATGGTTCCGGTCCACAAACAGATATCTCTCGGCAGTGGCGTCACCCCGTTGTACAGGGGTCCGGACAGCCATGGCTGAGAAAAAGAGGGGAAAGCCAAGGAAAATTTAGACAATTGATTGGTGTTACAATCTTGAGTCTCAGTTCCTGTGTACCATAATGCCAAATTCTCCATGTCCAGTAAATCTCACAGTTCTCTACAGACCAGCCCTTACCTCTTTTGATTTATCCTTATCATTGTGAGAATATCCCCAGAAAACCGTCATCTATGCTATAACATTTTTAATGGCTTCAGCAATTTTTATACTTTCTGTTGCTTTCCCCAAACTCAGGAATGCGATGCACAGAAACATTTGATTGGCACAAGAGAGAAGCAGCATGAAATTCCTCCTCCTCTTGAGGTGGGAGTGGAAATATTTGCAGCTTCACTTGACTTCAAAATGTAAATCTGACCCAAACCTTCGGACTTAGAAACTTCTTGAATAAACATTATCATGCCAACAGAATGTATTTACAAAACAATCACTATGAAATAAAACCTGGGAGCTGGGTGAAGGTGGAGCTCACTGAAAGCAATAAAAGGTGTCTGGAACCAAGAGTTGTCTAGCTGGTAACAGCAGAAAAGCTGATGTTCCAGTGCATTCTGAATTCGGATGTATGGAACAGATTATTTTCCACTTCTTCCACCCCCCACCCCAATATATTTAGTTCTTTTCTTAGGCTGGGAGACAATCCTAAATAACAGATTTTCCTGTAGCCCCTTTTCATCATCACTTGCCCTTCCTTTTCCATAAAACACAAGCACGGCAAGGTAAGAATTGTGTAAAGGAAATTGAACTAGGCCATTTACGTATTTTGGAAGATAGATTTTCTATGGATCCTCATTCTGTATGCCATTCTAGGATGAGGGCTGGATTTGTGAAAGAAAGAGAATGCTGGTGGTGATAGGGACCATCATGATATGTACCCAAAATATGCAAAATCCAGAAAACATTCTGCATGCACATTCAAACCCATACAACAATCAATAGTTTGCTTACTGGTTGATGTGAGAGCATGGGGTAGATCATTATTCTTCCATTCAAAACAAACTGCAGTTAATGGCAGCAAGTGTCAGAGCAAATGCAGGAAGAAAATATTTAATCTTTTCAATACTTAAGAGTGTTCCAAAGGTTCTTAGGGTAAGCAACATCTCCCTCCTTATAACTCTCCCCCCCCCTTCCCATCCAACTTTTTCGTTCCTACAAGTGGAAGAAGTTAAATCTCTTTCCAGCTTTGTGCTCTAGCCACAATTAGCCAAACTCCTCTCAGGAGACTAACCCGGGAAAATGGAAATGGAGTTAAGAATGAACAGCAGAAAAACCCAGGATCCAAATGTAGCCAAAGAATTCAACTTGGCCAAGGAAACAGGGTGAGACCTCCAGAAGCCCCCACACTGCCTTTCTAAGCACCTAGGAGCCTACTTTCTCTGCCCTAAAAATCCACATTGCTCTCCTTCTCAGCCTGGCAACCAATCTCAGTCCACAGTCTGGTTGATGAGCAAGATTTTCCAGCACTCTCCCACCCACCCCCTTTCCAGACCCCTGCTGAGCTCAGTGGCTAAGCAGCAATTTTGGCTGCTTATGTCGCTAAAGCCAGACACTCTTGCCCTTGTTCAGCAGACCATGGGGGTTCCTACTATGGCAAGACCCTTAGTTTCTCTTTTGCAGAAACAGAACAGTGGGGAGGACTCTTTGATCATCTCTGCTCATTCAAAGCAGCCTTACAACTCAACACCTTCAACACCTATTCCAGCTCCTTTAAATCTGCTGATTGTTGTCTGCCCAGGATCCAAAGCAGGCGTGGTGAGACTCAGAAAAGCCACCCAGAGCTCAAACACCAGACGTGTGGGAACTGACAATAGTTACTCTGCAGGAATGGAAAAGCACTCTGTGTAGGCTCAAAGCCACTCAGCTCCTTAATGCGTTCTCTTACGCTGTAGAGATAACTACCGGGACTAATTAAAAAGTGACTAAAAAGCATAAGCTATAGCTCACAAAAGCTTATGCCTTTTAAATAAAATTCATTCGTCAGAAAAAGTGCTACCAAACTCTTCCTGATTTTCATACTCTGTAGCAAATCTAAACATGTAAGGTACAGAAACAAAAATTCCAGGGGTCAGTCCTAAAAAGCTCCAGAACAAATTAAAGAAATTCTTCCAAGATGAAGGGTTAGTCAGTGCCTTAAAAGGAGATAGCCCTCTGTATATAGCCCTGAGAAGGCTTTGGTGCGCAGCATCCTTGAGCAACAATCAGCATCCTTGATCAACTGTTACCATCTCTGTTTCGCACAATGCCCCAACATTATATTATGGCAAATTAAAGTGGTCATATCCGACCTCCAGGGCAAGTCGTTTCAAGTGGATCTTGGCAGGAGGAAGAAGAGAAGGAGGTTTTGATATAAGAGGAAAGTCTTCACCAAACACATCACTACATTATCCTGAAATCTGGCACAGATCCCATCCTTTGAATTCCACACTAGAAGACAACATGGACTTCAAAAAATATAACAGAGATACTCTTTGATCTGCCTCCCTTCTGATCTCTCAGTACCCAGTTTTTCCGGAAGAGACTGCAAGTAACAGGAAAGGTGTGTGCATATGTGTGCATGTTTGTGTGCACGCACATGCACGGAGTGGACTCGACAAGTTAAGAGTCCTAGGATAGGAAGTGGGGAAGGGAATTGGTGAAGGGCTAAACTGGCTCCAGTTATGGAAAATGGCTCGTTATTCCCAGAAAGACCAAAGGGCGGTAGGTGACACCCTTTGGCTTCCAACCAAGACAGGTGCAACGCTGAACGATCCTGCACCTGGCAACCACCTGCTGAAGCCGCCACACCCCTGCCCAGAATCCAAGAACTCCTACCTGCTTTCTAGCTAACACTGGGCTCTAAATCAGAGAAGCCATACCTGCTGGTTTACACAGCGGTTAATTCTCTATTACCCACAAGTGTCCTCCCACAGTTCTGCCGGGGAGCCCTGAAATCACTGTACCCTATTCCCCAACCAGAATCTCTTCTCTGCAAAAAGGCTCACTCATGTTTATCTGGAATTAATTGCTTTCCGTATTCCCAAACGCTTACCAAAAAGTCAAGGGCTGGTGGTCATTCCCTTTCTAAACCTACTAGAATTTTGACCCACACATGGCATTCTGTAATAGCCCAGTTCCTACATCCTTTAGGTCCTCCTTCTTCACCCACATGGCTTCTCTACACATTCTGTTTTCCCCCTAGACACCCCACTTTCTTTACCCACCAGCTTTTCCCAAGCTGGTGCCTCCGGATCAAGTGGGGACAACAACTGACTCTTGTGAGAATCAGTGTTGGATAGTTGTTTAGGGGTTGGACTAGGAGAAGGGAGATCCAGGTTCAAGTCCACCCTCAGCCACAGAAGCTCACTGGATGGCTTTGGGTTGGTCACTCTCTTTTAGACCAAACCACCTCACAGGTTGTGGTTATGGGGAAAAACAAGAGGAGGGAGAGTGGTGTACACTGCCTTGAGCTCCTCTATTAAAAGAATATAAGTCTAACAAGCAGGTCATTCAAGTAGGGAATTGGTCCCAACGTTTCCGGAAGACTGCTACATTTCCACTATCTTTCCTGGCCTTCTATTATTCCAGTGGAACTCCAACTTTTCCTCTGAAAATCCCAGAGCCTGGATTATTTGATAAACTTGTTTACCAATAAAGTGTGCAAAAATAATGGGTAGGAATGCATTGCCCTTGCACCACAATTACCAGCTCATGAAGGAAACCACCCTTGCATTTGGGCCCAACCTTTGTGTTCAGAGCAGTCCTGAATCCAAGGCTTCTTTTCCTAAAGAAACCCAGAGCCCTGAGACCAGCCTCCTTTATGTGCACATTCACACACCAACTTCCTTCTCCTCCTGGCTCCCAGCACATTCCATGCTGCCTCCCACTGGGTCACACTCCCACCCCACCTCTGGGGATTGGACAAGACCCAGCTAAACGAGTCGGAGGCGAGACAGGCGCCAAGCTACTCAGAGTCCTGCCCAACAGTGCCCAACAGAGTGGCACTAACAAGCCAGTGGTGTCCTCCTTGGCTCATTGATCGGCATTCCCAGGGTGAGGCTATTGAGGTGGTGGCAAATAATTGCCTCAGTCATCTTGGGGCCTTAATGGAAGAGTCCCTTGCTTGAAAATGCCCCTCCCCAGAAATCATATCTCCTAAAAAACGAACGATCTCACAAGGGAGCAGGGAGAGAAATGGTAGGAGGTTTGGGACGTTAGGAGGCAGTCCTCCAACATGGCTTTCCAGATGCTGCAGACTGGTTATGCTGGGAATAACCAACACTATTGGTTATGCTGGGAACTGTGTTTCATCAGCATCTGGACAGTTGTGTGTTATGGGACAGTAGCCTAGAGCTCTCACATCTACTGAATACTGAGATTGGAATTGAAAGATTTTTTGGGAAAGAAGTAGGTCCCAGTAGATAAGGAATAGGAGCTCCAATTCAGTGCTTAGCTTGATATAAAGCTGATATTAATTATGATGCAATCTTTTTAAAGATAATCTAGTGCTCTTTGAATGTTTTTGACTACAGCTCCTATAATCCCTTGCCACTGGCCATGCTGGCTAAGGGTGATAGGAAATGAAGTCCAAACTGTTGCTCTATACATGCCTTATGGCCCATGACAAATGCAGGATTTAAACCCATGCAAATGAAAGTATGTGCAAATGTGCTGATCAATATATTTACAGGAAGAGGACACTCATTATCTCTGTCCATTGGTCCCTGCAAAGACTGATCAAAACAAGCACTTATAGGGTACTTCCTACTCTCTAGTCTGCTCCATGCAAGCTGCTTGTTAATGCCCCACTAGTCAATGGTGTCCTAAGACTGGCAGCACCCGCAATGGAATCACAAGAATGCCCTTGAAAACCCACAACCCAGCTGGCATTGGCAAACACAGCAACCTGATCAGCAAGGATAACTTCAAGCCCTCGCCTTCCGGGCACCAAATGGACGAAGTGAAAAATGCAGATGGGCGGTGTTGGACGAAGGAGAAGGAAAACAGA